TGGTGTCCTCTTGGCGTTCCTGTTCCGGGGAACGAGTAATTACTTAGCAGAGACGAACGCTACTGGGATGCGTACTCCCAGGTGGGCGGGGTTTCCTGAACATTGGTGGCCTTGCGTCTCCCGGAGGTGTGCAACAAGGTTACTCAGAGTTCTTCACATTCGCAGACAGTGGTCACATTTTGAAAAATGGGAAAAATCGAGGTGAAGTTTCACATTCCAAGTGTGTATAAGAAAAGGAGAAGAAAACTTTTCGCTCATCGGAATCATTTCTTATTCATTTGAGTCTTCGAATTCTTACTGAAGTCCATCGGAAATAAAAGCGGCAACAAAGCAAGCAACAGGGTATGGTGTCAATCAGACATAACTAACACCAGTCTGCAGGTGACTGCGTAGGGCTCTGTATGCCGGTGACAGATTGATTAACCATCGATCGATTACGGGAGGCTCAGGCCTCAATCAATTCTCAGCTTGTTTTGCTCCTGGCTCCAGCGATTAGCTTCGTGGCTGTGAGGTTAAACGCCTGACCCGTTTCGTAGTTGTGGGCAGCCTTATTTGATGAGTCGTACTCCCGTCGCACAGCCAGGGTGCGTGATCAAAGCATGCGTCTAATCTGGCCTGTGTAGGTACAAGGACAATTTAGGCACGGAATGTGATATACTACACGCGATTGTTGCTTGTTTTGTTGCCGCTGTTATCTCCCTTGACGGAATCCAGTAACAGTTCAAATGCTCAGGGGAATAAAAGCATGATTGCAGCGAGCGAACTGCTTTCTTCGTCTGGAAGGCTTTAGGTTTACGAACGTCTCAATGAACTTTGGCTCCCTTATTTCATTTGAGTTCGGAGACTGTTGCTCCAAATTATATTACAGATTGTCATGCCTTCCTACGTCATGAAAACACTTTAATGAGTGATAGGTTGACTCCCGACAGTATTTGTGAGATCACCTTCTATCCCCTGCGTTCTCATAAACCAGATTATAATACTTTTTCAATTTTTTTCAGGACGTTCGAAACTTTCTACAAGAAAACCGAGAAGAAATTGAGCGGAGCCGTCGGACTACACAGGAGCTCAAATTCACAAAAGTGAGTTTCTTTTTGCACACTTGTAGCTCTTTACAGAAAGGCAGTGACTTTGTGATCTCCCGCTCCTTTAAATATAGCTGTAAGACGTAGCTGTGAAAAAATGATGGTCCAGCGGCTGCAGCTGCGGCATCTAGATCTGCCTCGTAATTTATCTTTGCATCTCCCATCGAAGAGCATTACTCGCAGTGAGAAACACAGACCTGCGGTCTCGGCGATCCATATAGCGGCTGGAGCGAAGAGATTTGGTGTCTGTGATACCGCGCGGAGAAAATTTCAGCGGGCCATCCCAGATGAACGGGTAAAGTAAAACGTTTTTGGGAGTGGAGTCGGGCTATGGAGTCGGGCATCCGTTCGTCCCGTTGGGCTTCGCAGTCAGTCCGTATGTGTGTTTGCTACTTATTTGATAACGGTAGCTAGTTATATTTAAGTGCTTGTGGTGACAGGACGATCGGGTGAACCGGCGTAAGATAAAATTTGTGCATTGGGGTTCAACAGGCAGTTGCCTAGCGACTACGAATATGTACTGCTTTATGTTACGAACAAGACACAAGAGACTGGAATGGTCATTTGGGGTTCACTAGCTGTAATAAACCAGCCACACGCAGCCCTAGGTTTGAACACCTGGTATTCCAACGCGGGACCCTTGCTCTGTCACATTGCTTCACGAGCCCGTTCCGTCAGTGGCGGTAGGGTACATCAATCATCGTGGTGAGAGCATTGATCGATCGGGTTACAGGACATACCCAAATAAATTTGCGTGATACGCTCCGATCTCCCCAACGATGGGAAACGTTTACCCTTCATGAGGCCTCAACCTATGCGCAGATACGGTTTCTGCAGAGGTGTCTGGACAATAACATGTTGCCGAAGTGTGTTACATACAAACCTCCGGTGAACACGGAGCTGGTGAGCCTCGTAATTTTTCAACACGGAAAAAGAATGATTAGTGTGATCCTTTAAGATTGCCATGCGAGGCTGCGCAAATACCGTGAGATAATTGGCCAAGTAAAGACCAGATGCTGCGAGTCCATGGGCGATGACGCCACAAAACTGCTTTAGCAGAGAGTGACTGAATGAGCCCGGGAAAAGAAATCGATTTGCGAAGCAGCACTAGAGGATACATTCCGCAAACTGCATAATCCAACGTAATCCAGAGACGACATTCTGATACACTACTTGTCGTCGAAGTAACTGACTAAGGAAAAAATACTGTTTCTACAGCACAAAGTATTGGCAATCCTAACTCTATTTGGTCCAATTAATTGAAAAGATAAGGGCATCTCTAGGCTTTTTTACCTGAGGTTTTTGCATAGTCAAACCCTCATTTCCGTATGCGTATACTAGCTGCTCCAAGGTGTGTCGGTATAG